TTCTCCCATAACCGCTCTTTTTGGCTGCAACCCATCAACTCATTTGTTGTTTAATGTCTCCCAGTTTCCACCTGAATACAGTCCTTTCCTTTTTTTTCTCCACCCTCCCACGTTTCACTTCCTCAAAAGATATTGTATTTCTAGCTTTACCTAGTTCCAAAGAAAGGTCACAAACTGAAATGTTAACTCATTTCTCTGCATAAATGCTGATTATTTATCGCATTTTCTGTTTCTATTTTATATTTAAAGAACGTACTGTCATCAAAACTGAGGTTTTCATGTGTGTATTTACATCACAAGAAACTTGCAAAATTGCAGGTGAAGGTTTGCAATGGGACAAAACAAAAAATGTTTGTACCATGAAAGTCTTTACCTTTTCTAAACAATTTTGTTAAATACTTCTGCACTATAAGTGAATAACGATTAGAATACAGAGGGGATCATTTCAACTCTAATCACTAGGGACGGGATGAATAATAATGAATTAGTGGCTTTCAACAACTTATCTGATTTTCTTTTCCACACTGCCAATTTGCTTTTGTCCCTTTTCCCGAAGGCTAAGTGTTGAAATTGCCCCAAGAAATTCAGAAAATGTCCTAAAGCACAGGAGGAAAACAATTAAGCAGTCAAAACTGATTTAATCCCTTGGTACATGTACAACCTTAAAATTTCTTGCTTATTTAGTTTGGTGTAGTCAAAAAGCAAAACACAATGCTATATTTAAACAAGTTACCAGAAAAGACATTTGAAGTAAAATTTATAATCCTCGATTGTTAACGGAACTATTTTATCCCTACATTGCCGCACAAATTAATGTTACTTCTCTATATGGGGCCAATGCTACAAACAATGGCTTAGGTATCCCAATCATGGTTGAAAATCTTGTTTCCAACTATTTTGGTCTCCATACTTAAAATATATGCTGTCATTGGAGAAAGTTCAAAAGAGATTCACCAGACTGAGGGGGTTAACTTATCAAGAATGGCTAAACAGGTTAGGACTTGATACATTAGAGTTTAGAAGAATGCATGGTGATCTTATTGAAACATGCAAGATTCTGACTGGAATTGACAGAGCGGATGTTGGGAAGATGTTGACACCAGTAGGGGAGTTTTAAATTAAAATAATAGCTATAGAATAAGAGGACAGGCATTTAAAATTGAGATACAAAAGTCAGTATTCTCTCAAATAGTAGTTTAAGTCTGGAATTCTGTATCAAGAGTCCACTGACAGTGTTTAGAAAGGAGGGAGTTAGAATTTTGAAATAGCCAAGAGTTGACCACTATGAGGAGCTAGCACCAAAGAGTAGTTGAGACCTGAGGCAGTTCAGTTATGGTTTTACAGAATGGCAGGGCAGGCTTGAGGGTCTGAATAACCTCTTATTTCTGTGCTCTTCTGAAAGATTTCGAAACACAATCCTATTTATCTCAACACCACCACCTTATAGTGCCATAATACAAGACAGAGTTCCCTTTCTATTATGTCCATAGGTTTAACTGATGACTGCAAATTGAAAGTAACATTTTATAGAGCTGGATGAACACAGCAGGCCAAGCAGCATCAGAGGAGCAGGAAGGCTGACGTTTCGGGCCTAGACCCTTCTTCAGAAATGGGGAAGGGGGTGGGGGTTCTGAAATAAATAGGGAGAGAGGGGGAGGTGGATAGAAGATGGATAGAGGAGAAGATAGGTGGAGAGGAGACAGACAGGTCAAAGCGGCGGGGATGGAGCCAGTAAAGGTGAGTGTAGGTGGGGAGGTAGGGAAGAGATAGGTCAGTCCAGGGAGGACGGACAGGTCAAGGGGGCGGGATGAGGTTAGTAGGTGGGAGATGGGGGTGGGCTTGAGGCAGGAGGAGGGTATAGGTGGGAGGAAGGACAGGTTAGGGAGGCGGGGACAAGCTGAGCTGGTTTTGGGATACAGTAGGGGAAGGGGAGATTTTGAAGCTTGTGAAGTCCACATTGATACCATTGGGCTGCAGGGTTCCAAAGCGGATTATGAGTTGCTGTTCCTACAACCTTCGGGTGGCATCATTGTGGCACTGCAGGAGGCCCAGGATGGACATGTCGTCTGAGGAATGGGAGGGGGAGTTGAAATGGTTTGCGACTAGGAGGTGCAGTTGTTTAGTGCGAACCGAGCATCGTGCGAATCGTGCTCACATGAGGAGCTCGATTCATCCACTTCACCAACACCTTCCACCCCAACCTTAAGTTCACCTGGACCATCTCTAATACCTCTTTCTCCTTCCTGGACCCCTCTGTCTCCATCTCTGGCAACCACCTAGAAACCGATATCCATTTTGAGGCCACCGACTCCCACAACTACCTAGAATACACCTCCTCCCACCTGCCTTCCTGCAAAAATGCCATCCCCTATTCCCAATTCCCAATTCCTTCGCCTCCGCCGCATCTGCTCCCAAGGTGAGTCATTCCACTCCCGTACATCTCGGATGTTCTCGTTTTTCAAGGACCGCAACTTCACCCCCCTCAGTAGTCGAGAACGCCCTCGACCATGTTTCCCACATTTCCCGCAACTCATCCCTCACACCCCCTCCCCGCAATAACAACCAAAACAGAATCCCCCTCGTCCTCATGTACCACCCCACCAACCTCCGGATCCAACGCATCATCCTCCGACACTTCCGCCATCTGCAATCCGACCCCACCACCAAAGACATTTTTCCCTCCCCACCCTTATCTGCTTTCCGGAGGGACCACTCTCTCCGTGACTCCCTTGTCCGCTCCACACTCCCCTCCAGCCCCACCACACCCGGCACCTTTCTCTTCAACCGCAGGAAGTGCTACACCTGCCCCTACACCGCCCCCCTCCCCCCCATCCCAGGCCCCAAGAAGACTTTCCACATCAAGCAGATGTTCACCTGCACATCTGCTAATGTGGTATACTGCATCCGCTGTTCCCGTTGTGGCCTCCTCCACATTGGGGAAACCAAGCGGAGGCTTGGGGACCGCTTTGCAGAACACCTACACTCGGTTCGCACTAAACAACTGCACCTCCCAGTCACGAACCATTTTAACTCCCCCTCCTATTCCTCAGTGCCACAATGATGCCACCCGAAGGTTGCAGGAGCAGCAACTCATATTCCGCTTGGGAACCCTGCAGCCCAATGGTATCAATGTGGACTTCACAAGCTTCAAAATCTCCCCTTCCCCTACCACATCCCAAAACCAGCCCAGCTCGTCCCTTCCTCCCACCTATTCCCTCCTCCCACTTCAAGCCCCACCCCCATCTCCTACCCACTAACCTCATCCTGCCCCCTTGACCTGTCCATCCTCCCTGGACTGACCTATCCCCTCCCTACCTCCCCACCTACACTCACCTTTACTGGCTCCATCCCCGCCTCTTTGACCTGTCTGTCTCCTCTCCACCTATCTTCTATCCACCTCCACCTCTCTCCCTATTTATTTCAGAACCCCCCTTCCCCTCCCCCATTTCTGAAGAAGGGTCTCGGCCCGAAACATCAGCCTTCCTGCTCCTCTAATGCTGCTTGGCCTGCTGTGTTCATCTAGCTCTACACCTTGTTATCTCAAATTCTCCAGCATCTGCAATTCCTACTATCTCTGAAAGTAACATTTGACTGCTTTACGGTTTTTTCCTTGACATTTCATACAACTGAGCTTAAACTTTGTTAACTTCAAATAACTGCTTCAACTTTCTTAATCAAGCACTTCTGGTATTGGATTTTCAAACTAAGACCCTTAGCTATTTCCTAACTGTTTTAATCTAATTCCTTTCTCTCGGAGAAATTGTTCTTGCATGTAACCCAAACCAGGTCTTCTGAAAACAAGACCTGTCCAAACGATGTGTTTTTCCTAAGCAAAAAGAACAATTCTTGACTCTTCTAAGCCAAAAACAAGTTAATGCTTTCAATATAAAAACAGAATTGCTGGCAAAACTCAGCAGCTCTAGCAGCATCTGTTGGGAGAAAGCAGAGTTAATACTTCAAGTCCACTGACTCTTCTTCAGACCTGAAAGCTGCCAGGAAAATGTATTTTTGCTGAGGCGAGGTTGGGGAAGGTGGGTTGCAGTAGGATGGGAGAGGTGAGTGGATAGGTGGAGATGAAACCCAGAGATGAAAGGGGTAGGCAGCCAAGGGGATTACAGATAGTAGGCTAGGATACCTATTGATGTTTACTCCTTCCAAGAAGAGGCTATGGCCTAGTGGTATTATCGCTGGACTGTTAAGAGACCCAGATAACATTCTGGGACCTGGGTTCAAATCCTACCACTGCAGATGGTGGAATTTGAATTCAATAAATATCTAGCATTAATAATCTAATGTTGACTGTAAATCTATTGTCGATTGTTGGAAAAACCCAAATGGTTCACCTAATGTCCTTTAGGGAAGGAGACTGCCATCCTTATCTGGTCTAGACTACATGTGACTTCAGACTCACAGCAATGTGGTTGACTCTGAACTGCCCTCTAGGCTATTAGGGATGGACAGTAAATGCTGCCTAGCCGGCAACGTCCTTATCCCATGAATGAGTAAAGAAAAAAAATTGTAAAATAATCACAATCAAAAGAAATTCCCATTATCGCTACAGGAGGGCTCCAGTCTTCTGATTTCTGACAGATACAATTTGAAAATCATGACTCCAAAAAAACTGACAGGTATTAAAACTCTTCATACACGTAGACCAAAACCCACAAGCTGCTAGTTCAAACTTTAAAATAATTAATAATATACATAAATAACGCATCTTAATCACACCATGCATAGTTGAAACATGGTGATCAAATAAATAGATTAATAACTGACAACAAATGTATTGTGTAATCTGTAGTTGACGTGTAAGTGATTACCTGTAACCATGACATTATAATATTTTGTATACTGTAACATGTTCAATTTTAATATTTTCCACAATTTAGTTGATATTATTGCATCTGTTCAAATTATCATTATTTTATTCTAAATGTTTTTATAAAATCGTTCACTCTTGTTCAGTTAAATAAACTTTATTGTTTGCTTTTATTTCACAGGTGAAATGCCACCAGTACTGGCCAGATCCTCCAGAAGTATGCAAATATGGCAGCTTTCATGTCACATGTCACTCAGAAGAATATAGCATTGCCTACGTTTTCCGAGAAATGACACTTACTAATTTAGAGGTAGGAGTAATTTATTCCTGAATTACAAAAACAAACATGTCTTTTGCTTACTACGATATTTTATTTCAGCATGTACTCCTTCAACCCTTTACTAAAGTATTGTCAGTGGAGTTATAAATTAAAAAACGCAGACCATTCGTTTTATAAATAAAACTAATAGGTACCAGAAACAAAATTTGTTGGGAAAGGACAGGATACAGTGTTTTTTGCTTGTGCTCTTCAAGTCAGGGAAAAATAAGAGATCATGCCAGCACAGTTGTCTTACAAAATCATGTTTTCTTTTGAAGGGTTTTGAACTGTCATTTCATGATGTTGATCTTGAAAAAGAAATAAGATTGCTTCGCCAACAAAGAATTAGTGAAATGGTTGAGCTACTGCCAAGTGATGACTCCTTGTCTAAAATGCATTGATCTGTATGATTTATTTCACTTTCTGTTCTTTTTACCAGTGACTCGGAAATATAAATATCTTTTGTCTGTAAAGTTGAACAAACTCTTACACCATACAGGAATTTATTTTGACTCTGAAGTTTAATTTAAATTCCATTAGGTAATTTCCCACCAGCAAAGAGCAGTGGATGTATACAGGTACTGGTACTAATTATACCTGTAAAAGATTGATTTGAACAACTATCAATTTAGGTAGCACTATAGTATCAATACTTCAATTGTTAGCTAGCAAAGGCCTAATTTTATTTTAAAAGGTCATTTACTGGATCTGATGTTGCTAGCAAGACAAGATTTATTACTTTTGAGAAAGGGTGTTGAGTTCCCTTTTGAATCACTGCAGTCCATTGGTTGATACAGTCTTGTTGGTTATGGAGTTGCAGGAGCAGTTGGACCCAGAGACCAAAAAGAATGGAATTACAGAATCATTACAATGCAAAAGGAGGCCATTAGTCATCATGTTTGCATTAACTCTTCAAATGAACATTTCATGGAGTGCAATTTCTCCCCATTATCGATCACTTCTTACTTTTCATGAAACCAACCAGTTTCCTTTTGAATGCTTCAATTGTATCTGGCACCGCCACTTTCTCAGGCATTCCAGACCATAACCACTCTGAGAGAATTTCCTCATATCACTTTTGCTTCCTGGACTAATTACTTCTCAGCTATGTCCTCTCGACTTGTTCACAAGTCGAAACATATTCTCCCTGTTTACTGTGTCCAAACTTCTCATGATTTTGAAGATTTCAGTCAGATCTGTTTTCAGCCTTCTTTGTTGTGTGATATAGAGGGAAACGTGCAGGTATTGTGTTGTATGTGCCTGTTGGCCTTGTACTTCAAGGTTTGAAAATCATGACGAATGTTTTGTTGGAGTAGTCTTGGCAAGTTGCTTTGTTCTGAGTGCACAGAGCTCAGTTTGACTGTTGCTGGAGCTGTGCTCGCCAAGTAAAGTAGAGAGTATTCCTTCACATTGTTATTAGGTGCCTTGTGAATGTTAGAAACACTTCAGGGATTCGAGAGTTGAGTTCTCCGGGTCTTCAGGCTGATCTGTTTTTGTGGTCGTAGTATTTATATGGTTTATCCAGTTAAGTTTCTGATCAGTAGTGTTCTTTTTGATGGTGGAGAATTCAGCAATGAATGTCATGTCAGTGGAAAGTGGTTAGACATCTTTTCCTGGAGATGGCTATTTACTAGGACTTTTATGTATGCATATGTTTCTTACCCCCTATCAGCCCAAGGTTGAACATTGTCCAGGTTTTGCTGCAGGCAGCCATAAACTGTTTCATTACTTAAGAAATTTCAAATAGAATAGGGGTGGTATGGTGGCTCAGTGGTTAGCACTGCTGCCTCACAGCGCCAGAGACCCAGTTTGATGCCACCCTTGGGCAACTGTGTGGAGTTTGCACATTCTCCCCTTGTCCGTATGAGTTTCCTCCTGGTGCTCAGGTTTCCTCCCACAGTCCAAAGATGTGCAGGTTGGGTAGATTGGCCATGCTAAATTGCCTTTAGTGTCCAGGGATGTAGAAATGCAGGGTTATAGGGATAGGATGGGGAGAGAGGTCAAGTTTGGGTGGAATGCTGTTCAAAAGGTCAGTGTGGACCCAATGGGCTGATTGGCCTGCTTCCACACAGTAGGGTTTCCCTGATGTCTATAACTGAACACTGTGCACTCATCAACAAATATTTCTATTTCTGACTTTGTTAGCGGGAACTGCATTGTTAAGGCAGTGGAGGATGTTTGGGCTGAGAATACTGTTCTGAGGCTGGGTTGAGGCTTCTTTTTAAACGAAAACCTTTCTTCGTGCTACGTGTAGTCATCCAGTATGAAATTCCGTGCACCCCTTCCCTGATGCTCTCCTAGGCAGTCATTTTGACATTCCTCTCAAATTCACCTTTTCTGCCCATGTTTGGGCTAAGGCAGCAATGAATCTGAAGCAGTATGGTTCCAGGTACTTTAGACAGCAAAAGAGGATGTATATGGGAAGAGGCGAGGGATGTTTTGAAATTTGCACGCAGCTGCAAAACAGTAATCAAGGAATAGATTTGCAAAGATTGAACTTTATATGTTACTTTTCTTAAAAATATTAAATATAATTAAATTTATATTTCAGAAAAATAGAACCTGAAATCTTTTGACATAGAACAGGATTAGTGATTTATTTCTATCTCTGCTCGCTCATTAACAGAGCACTTGCATTTAGCCTCCACCCCTTCGTTTGTCTAAATCCCTGTATTTTCTTCATCGTTATGTAGCTTTTCTAAAAATTACTTATGGAACCAGCTTTCCAATGAAACATTCTATATCCTAAGAACCCTCTGAATGGGGAAATAAAATTCTCTTTATCTCTCCAATTGATTATTTCCTAATATATTTAAAATCTATATTTAAATCTATGACCTGTGGTTATTAACCCAAATGCCAGAGGGAATAGTTTTTTTTCTCTAATCTAATCTATCAAAGTCTTTCATTATTTCAGATGTCTATTGGATTAATTTTTAATCTCTTCTGTTCCCTGGAGAGCAGTCATCACTTTCCCAACCCCTCCTCATAAGCAAAGTCTTCCATCTGTGGCCACTAATGGTGGCTAGTGCTGTTGGGATTACAGAGCTGCCCAACATACAATTGGCTGTAACTTTCTAAGGTAGGGCTTCCTCCCAAGATAGCATTAATTACTTCAATGGCTGCTCACAGCACTGAATTGTTGAGAGACAGCCACTGGAGTTAGATATGGGCCCACCCTGACATTTTAGTTGTGTGTGAAGAACTGTGATGCCCGATAAAGTCCAGCTCATGGAAGCATTGTAATGCATTTTGAATTAGTAAAAATTTTAAATTACCTCCTTCACACAAGAAGTACTGCAAGTATATGTACCATAAGTGCTGCATTGAAATTGTTCACTCCATTGCTTCCATTGTAAAAGGAATAAGAAAAGAAGACAATAAAAGAAAACCTAAAAATCAGTGATTTGAAAAATTAACAACTGAAGTGCGCTCCTTCTCTAAGTCACAATCACCATCCATACTGCCATATTCTGATTAACTCTTTTATCTATTAGCTTTAGCTGTGGCTTATATATTTAGATACTCCTTCATATATTTTGTTTTCCTTACTGCATCGCAATAAGCCAGTGATGAATTTCAGAGTACTAAGAAAAAGAAAAATATATCCTCTTTACCACAGAATTTCAATGATTTATGATTGCAATGAAGAAAGGACAATTTGGATTTTAGATATTGAAGTGTAATTGGAATTTCCTCAAACCATACAACTTGAGAGCAATGAGCCATGAAGATGCTGTTGGTGCTGTCCTTTCTGTAATATATCAGAGTGCACATTCATTTTCAAAGATCACAAATAACTTCAGCTGTGTGACAGTTAATATTAATTTATAGAAATCATTTGGTGTAATTTATAATTAATCTGCATCAGTGTCAGTACATCTTTTTACATGAATAATGACAGTGACACCAGTTAAAAATATCCTGTCATTTAGTTTTTATGACGAACAAAACCATAAACCATGAAAGACTGTTATTTCTTTAACTGGAAAACAGCCATGAATATTCGGTGATTATGTGCAAAACTTAAGCAGCGTGAGTCACGAGGAAATTGACATATGTGGAGTTCTCTAATCATAAACACGTCTTTGCAGAATGTTGCAATTGATAGGTACGTATGTGATTTGAAACATGCCCTTGTAATAAAGGCATAATCAAGCTGCTATTTGTGAATATTAGAAAATTTCACAGAAAAAAACTTTAGGTCACTTAAGTTCATGAAATTTAGATATGCACAGAATTTCCTAATCGTACTTTTTTGTTTAAGGGTCTACTTATTGGTTCCCACTGATTTTGAGCAAAGTTGTATACTGGAATGTCTGACAATGGATTTGTTGATACCATTAAGAGGCAATCTTTCGCAATTTTGTGATAAAGATGCTATAATAATTTTAATAATTTTTTTAGATTGGGTGCCATTTAATGATTGTTGCCTTCTTGCTATATTGCACCACTGCATTGTCTGTAAAATAAAATATAATATACAACCACCTGAAATTACTAAAATAAACCAAAGAATCCAATTCAAGTGTAAACTTTCCTTTCACAATAAAAAGGTCAATTTTACAGGTAAACTGTAAATAATTGAAATCACCCCATTCTAAGTAAATTAGTGCTCACTGAGGAACTATGATTTTTGGAGTCTAGTGTCAGTAATCTTTTAAGCAGCTGTATTGCCAAGTTAGGACTAATGTTAAACTTCTGGATTAAATGAGAAAAACAATCTCACTGAAGTCAAGAGAAAATGATTAAAAATTACGAGTAGAAAACTTGAACAACAAAGGAAATCTTTTTGGGATGTGGATGCCACTGACAAGGCCAGGATTTCTTCACCCATCCTTAAAAGTAAGAGTCTTGAAATATCATTTCAGAAGGCAGTCAAGAGTCAATCATATTGCTATGGGTCTGTACTCACATATAGGTCAGACAAGGTAAGGATGGCAGATTTCTTTCCTTGAAATATATTAATGAACTAGATGAGTTTTTACAAC